TGGCTAGAAAATCTGAGGATGTAAGCAGGGATGTAAACAAAGGGTGAGGACTCGGGAAGGGCTGTGGATCTGTTTCTAGACACATGGAGAAGAAGGAACGCTGTAGCTTTATCTTTCTGGTGCACAGCCGTGCTGCCCACCCCACCTGGGGCTCAGTGGGACAGGAAAGGTGGAGAAGCAGAGCTACCAAGCTTCCTTCCCTTCCCTTCCCTGCTGGAATCCACGCAAAAAAGTAGTGCCAAAGCTTGGGGCACTTTGTGCTGCTAACAGAGCTGTGTGAGGTCAAGCAGGCAGGGGTTTATCTGACTTTCAGAACACCAAGTTTTGATCTGAGTTTTTTTCTGATATGCTATTAACAGTAAGGAGCATCTTCATGTGGGGTTTCAATGCACTGCTTAAACAAAAAAAAGTCATGTTTCAATATAGGGAAAAACGTGTCAAAGAGGGGAGAATGGGTGGTTATATATGTTTTACGGAGAATACTATTTAAAAACCAGCCCTTCAGTATTTAATCAGGTTCTCTTTGAGTTCAGTTTTAGGACATACATTATGTAGACATGAAGATAAGACTTTCAGATGAAGTGGGATTTTAAGAAGGGTATTATTAACCGATTTACATTTAAATTAGTGGAATGCATGTTGAGATATTCTGGAAAGTGCCAGTGCTTTCTCTTCTGCATCCCAGACAAACGTCTTTGAAAAATCAGGCCCTGCATGCCTTTTAGCCCTTGGATAAAATGTAATTGTGGGAGGAGCTCTCAAAGGCTATGAACTGTACCAGAACAAATCACTTAATAAAGCTTAACTGCAGTTTTACATAGTAAGTTTTGCTGTTACAAGGGGAAAAAAAAAAGGGGTTTTCAGCATTTTGTTGGTCGCTTGTATGGTAAAGTTGAGGCAACACCTTGGCAGCAGCTGTTCTGGCTCGTTGGATCACAGCAGAGGTCTGAGTGCAAGCACCTGGAGTCCTGGGGAACAGGGTGCGGCCCTGCTGCGCTGGGCACCAAGCGCTGTCTTGTCACCGTGGGATTAAATTAACACCTTGTAAAAGAGTGGTATCACATATACAAGGTCCACTTAAATAATTCACAGGGTGAGATGTGTAAAAGAAACTCTTAATCATCCAGACCATGACCTGCCAGCAAAAAATTATTCTGCTATTGTTTGCCTCCATCAGCCTTTACCTGGGGCAGGGGGATCCTGGCATCTTCCTTATGAAAGCACCTTCTGCCGCAGGATGTTTTCTGATGCCCCTCCTCCATCCTTCCATTTTTCAGTTTCCTTCCATCACCTCTTGTTACATTTGTCTGAATACTCATTAAGAGTACAGACTTCTTTTCCATGCAGTGAACCAAACAGACATACAACAAAGTTTAACTGAATAATTAACAGCTAATCTTTTGGCTCTTTTATGGCAGACCCTTTTTACTTCAGGAGAAGCAAGTGTTCCCTTTTCTTACCTCTGACAAAGGCCTCTCGGACTGGCACCTCTGCTTTCTCCAGCCAGTCTGGGGAAGGGACGGGAGGAAACTGGAGCTCACTGAGCCATTGGATTGGCACAGCATGACCCCGTGCCTGCTCACGGACATGGGATGCTTGCCAGGTAGGAAACCACATGTCCTGATCTCTGTTTCTAAGGCTTGATGCTTGATTGCCTTGTGCAAGATGCATAAAGACTCCTCCGAGCTGTGACTGCAGCAGCACTAGAACAGACTGATTGCCTTGTGCAAGATGCATAAAGACTCCTCCGAGCTGTGACTGCAGCAGCACTAGAACAGACCTAGGCAGGGGCTATGGCAGTGAAGTGCTGAGCTCTTCTCCAGCCTGGGCATGAAGCAGAGCTCAGGCAGGTGAGAAGTCAGCAAGTGCAGAGGCAGATCTTTAGGAAACATTCAGACGCTTTCGGTTCCACAGGGAAGATGCTGTAGCACAACATATCAGCGCTGAGGGCTGCAAGCCTCTCCCAAGCAGCTACACAGCTCAGTACCACAGAGCAGTGTGCCTGCACTCTTAGCTCAGCAATTGTAATTCTCTCCTGGTTTAAGTCCTTTTGAACCAACGGCAAAGCCTACTCAAGAGACAGGGGTTTAGGAAGTGGCTTACTCCTTGCTTTGTGTTACAGCCTGGCCCAGTTGACACCTGCCCCTGCCTCCTACACGTGCGGTAGCTTTCTCCCTAGTTGGCAGAATGCTTTTTTTTTTTTTTTTTTTTTTTTAATCCCCATAAAGCAAAGCTTTGGCACAGAAGAGTTTTTCCCTCTCTCTCTCAAGTGAGCACTAATAGGCTCCAACCTCCTGCTGCTGGGCATGAGTATCACCGCCCTTTATGTCCCCTTACCTTAGCCTCAATTTTAGTTATTCTGTTAAATTGGCAAGTTCTGCAAATGTTTTGCAGAAAAGCGTATGCACATCAGAAAAGAGTATGCACATATCGGATATCACTTCTTTGAAGGACCTTGTTATCTCTGCTAGGGCTCTTTTGTTCCCTTTCATTGTCAATATCAAACATCCATTCTGGATGGGAATCCTGTGGTCTCTGCAAGGCAAAGCTTTACATGTATTGTTAATGCGTGAGAGAGGCTGATATCACACTTGCTAGATCCTTCCATGCTGCAGCAAGTCTCTCCTGTAATACCTTCTGTAGTCATCACCATTATGCACCTTAATGAAGATTAGTGGCCTGATTCTGAAGCAGCCTAAATCTCTACAGTTTACACTGGCTTCTCATGGATTTGTGGGTGATTTGTGGCCTGTAGGAGAATAAAAGACCCCATTTTTAGACCCATACTTACTGACGTGCTTTAAACTCATCCTTCATTATTTACAGCAATGAGCTTGTAGCAGTATTTTCCCATTCTCTACGCGTGTGAAGGCGGAAGGTCTCCACGCTCTCCCTCAGCAGCATATCTGCAGTCTGACCAGCTGCTGTAACTGGTGCCAGCCCCAGTGTTCATGTCGCACCAGTAATTCTCCTTTGGCACCTGTTACTGGACTCAGGCATTTCACAGGGATCTTGCCTGTCCCTGCCAGCCGCAATGCAGTTCTGATCAAACAGGTCAGCGCCCATCATGTTTCTTTCATTATCTTCTAGCCTAGAAGATGTCAGGATAGTTTTCAAGCTCTGCTGTAAGCAGAATAAACAGCAAAGAACAAATGCTAACTGAGCTCAGCGGGACTTTCATGTTCCTTTATAAAGCCTTCTTTTTCCATTTCCCTCACACACTCTCTCTTAAACATGGGAGAATATTTTAAAAGTAAAATCTCTGGTTTTCATCCCTGAGAGACAGAAAGCTGACTTACCTATGCTATTCACTTCAGACATACAATTTTTCATTATCCCCCATCTTTTTACATCATGATCTAAGGCTCTTACAGCCCCTAGATCCTTCTATTTTAATACCACACTTTTACAGGAAGAGTTAATCAGTTTGGAAGGATCAGCATCTAAATTGCGCAAGTAAAACTGACAAAACAAAAAACTTGTTCAAACACTTTTTTATTAGTTAAAAAAAAAATATATTTCCACGATACCTAGAGATCCCAAGTGCCAGTGCAGATGGACATGAGACACGGATCAGTGAGTCTGACCAAAACACACAAAGTGAGTGGGTTGGAAAGGCATGAGGGAGGTGGGGAGGGAGACACACACCTTGGTACACGGCTGCACTTTACTTAGAATCAGAGGAGCCTGGCTTACATATACAGTATGATTGGTTTATGAGGGAGGTGAAAGATTACAGAGCTGAATGTAGTTAGTCAATGGAGAGCGGGATTTTCCTGTTGTAGTGTCAGCTAGTATTTCCATGTATGCTCTTGGAATGCTCTCTTTTGAGATAGAAGTCCCTAAGTTGATTAATTGCCTTCATTTTCACCCTGTGAGAGAAGACAGACAGGAAAACAGTTAAATATTTCCAGTGGAAAACATATATAAATAAAATCAGGAGAAAAATCAGTGCTGGTAGTCACCACATAAAACCCCATAAATATAACAATGACTATATGTGGTGCAGAAAATAAATGAATTATCCCTTCCTTCTGGGAACCAGATACACTCCCACTGTAACTCACACCTCCAGCAAAAATGAGGGTGTGATTTTGCATGTGGTGGAAGTTGAGTGAACACGTGGGGTCGGGCTGCTGCTGCAGGAGCGTCCTGCTTTCTGCCGCCTCCCACCCTGAGGTGCAGCTGGACACGAGCACTTGTGCAGCCACAAAGTTGGTTGGATCAAGAGGGTTCATTTTTGGGACACCCAAGGGCCAGTCCTGGCACCAGGAGGGTGATGGCTGGCGGAGGGTGGCAGGTGCAAGCTGAGACTTTTGGGAGCTTCAGGTGCAGTGAAGGCACCAAAACTGTAGAGGAAATTCCATGTTGGGCAATAAGAGGTCATCTTCCCAGAGACGGACATTTGATCCAGAGTTTCAGAAGGACATTGCAAGTAGAATAGATCAAAAATTAAAAGAATTAATTTAAATATAGAAAAATCTAGCTTGTTATCCAACAATCTATAGGAAAATCTAACTTGTTAGCTAAAGCTCTTCTAAAGCATAGTTGCAACCAAGGAAAAGCTGTTCCATGTGATGAATAAAACCATGCGATAACATTAACTATTATAAGTTTGTTTACACTTCCAAATCAAGTGTCAGTTAGTCTGTCCAATCTGTCACTCATGGCAAATGCTTGGTCCCGAAAAAGGAAGTGGCAAAAGTAAAAACCCACGAGCTCAGGTTTTGCCAGATAACTCCTGAAAATGGGAATACTGATGGGCTCCATGTGCAGCAGATCTATGATCACAGAAAGCAAAGGGGACATTGTCCTGGGAAAACCAGTAACCCAGAAAGCCCACGTGGTGGTCTCGGGAGCCTGGGGACCGTGGGGAAGTCACGGCTGTGGCATCACCTCACCTCTCCGCTGCCGCCGGTGCTTGCTGCCGGGACCCCCTCTCCCGCCATCCCCAGCTGCTCGGGTGGCTGCGGCGCTGCCAGGTCCTCCTGCCAAGTCACAAGTGAGAAGTCTGTCCTTAGCAGCATGCACAGAGTCATTGCCCTAATCTCAGACAGACACTGCGAAATGGGTTTGAGCATTACAGACACAAATAAAATACCAGGTTTAATAGATGGCAGATACTGCTCAAAATCGGGATTTTTGTGCAGCTTATTAAAGCAGATGTCTATGAAAAAGTGATTTAATTTCTTACAGCCTCATTTAGGGTCATTTTCATACAGAAAATCTGTTCTTTTTCTGAAGTTTTCTTTCGTGTTACTGAGTTTTAACTCCTTCAGTGTGAAAGATTTTGGGAGCAACAAATAAATTTACCTGGAGGAAGACAGATTATGCCTAGCCTATCCTGTTATTATCTTACTTACCCTAAGTGCTCATTGCATAAACTAATACTAGTTTAGATATAGCAATATTGTAGTGGCATTAAAGTAATGTCTCAGATAAAATTTAATTATCAAAGGATAAGCTTTCCATTGTGTTTGGAGTCCAAGCATTTTCACAAGCACTTTGGGCTCTTTTAGCTACTTCCTCACATCTTTCAGCTACCTTCCTATTCAAAGAAGAAGAGAAAAGATTGTATTACCAGGCAACTACTTAAAACGTGATTTTGCCACATAAGAAGACAAAAATCCTGACCATACTCTGTGTGCCCAGGGGATGGACAGAAAGCAGAAATGCACCTTTGTGGAATGATTCAGCAAGAGCAGGAACTCTATAGTCCAGCCCCAAATCACCAGAGAACTCTGCTAAAATGACAAAGCTTCTCTGTTCCCTTTGAGCACGTGTCCAGCAGTAGCCCTGAATTTTTACTCTCATTTCCCACATGAAGCCAGGGCTGTCAAAGAAAGAACCCGAGACACATATATTACATAAAGGAAAAGTCAATTTTACATGAAAGGGACATATATCTTTTGAATTTCAGTATTTTAGAAACAAGAGGCCACCACTTTCCCTGGTGCCACTGTTGATGCAGTGCAAATCAAATGTCCCTGTCAAACCTGCTGTAAACAGAACTTTGTGCTCCATGTGTTTTGGGGAACCCCACTCTTCATTTTCACGCATGTCCTTATTTTCCTGTCCAGTCACAACTGTTCTCATCAGTAGAACACCCCTACTGCCTTTGGGACTGAATTAGGGAAGAATAGGTGATGTGAAACAAAAAGGAAAAATAGACATATTTCACAGAGTTACATAGATACAAGGTAGATCCCACAAAAATTTAAGCTGGAAATTGGACTTCAGATCCATTTTTGGCAGGTAGGAAGCCAGGAGATGGAAGCACCTCAACCTGGTTGTCCTGCCATAGGCTTCCTGCTCTCCACACAAGCTATCATTAGAGATCAATCCACCAAAGAAAAAAAAAAGAAAATGGCCAAAATAAGAGCTGCAGGCCAGTACTGATGTCTGTCACAGCTCCAGGCATTCCCTTCTCCTCCCTGGTGACAGCCAATTAGTTTGTTTATTGAGAGCCATGCACTGAGGGTGTTTCCATATGAAAAGCACACTATGATTTTTATTTTTCCTTAGAAGAAACTGCATTGCGTTGTTGGCCGAAATGATTCTTGCTGGTATCAGCCTGATCTGTGTTAAGTAAGCCCAGGTAACCTAATGACATCAAATTGCACACATCTGGTCTCCAGTTGTGGGCACAGCAGGGACCCAGTGCTGCTGGGGAGAGGCCACCAATCTGATAGAGCCACTGAGACTCAGCCTTTCCCAAATGAATGAACCCTCCTGGTGCCAGCAAACAGTGCTTGCTCCTCTGAGTTTATGAAGGCTGATCCAGCCTCAGGATCCAGTCAGTGGCTTTAAAACACTTTACATGCGTATAGGACCATATAAAAAGGACTACAGCTTATAAACTCAGCAGTGCACATTAGGTCAAAGCAGGTAAATAGCCTCAAATTGTATTTTAAAGCTTTACAAGCAGTTTTTTGGACTGAGAGTTGGAAAGAAAAGAAATGTGCACTGCAAACCAATGACAACAGCTGCAACAGCAGGTGCTTTGCAGGTTTTTTGCGGGTGGGGTTACCAGCTGCCGTGTGAAACCATGAAGGTGAATCAAAGGCAACTCCTGTAAGTGCTGAGCTGCATCGGGAAAACTGGGGGACAGCTCATAGGAACACAAGGACAAGTGCAGTGCACCCCATCTTTCTACAGGGCACGACCACCTGCTCTTCCTGCAAGGAGGGAGATCAGTACTGGTAGATGTAGAAATAGCCAAGGAAAAGGGAAGCCCTTTCTCAGGATTATCCTCTACACACTGCATCTGGGAGCATTGGGTTGGCTGAAGAATCCCTGTTCAGCTATTGTGCTGCTTATTATATCCCGTAAAATGTGCTCTCTGCCAAGATTCTGCTCCAGAAGGACAAAAGTGACTCATCCACCTATTTTTAGAAAGGGAAGTAACCACATTTCTGGAGAGTGTTTCCAAACTGTGGTGGAGGAACCAGCACAATCGCAGGATGAAGAGGTGTCAGGCCATGTTAGGGAAGCTGCCTCGCAGCCTTTTTCTCATTCTCTTCCCACCCTGCCCAGAATAGTGAGCAGGAGATGAGGAAGGGCTGCATTCTTCAGCTGGGCCTCAGCTGGCTGGAGACTTCGGTGACTAGCCAGGAAAACAATATACAAAGGAGGACCATGTGACAGAAGGGTCTTCACTTTGGATGAAGAGCCAGAAATTCCTGGGTACCAACCCCAGCTATACCACTGACTCACAGCAGGATGCTAAGCAAGAAAGCAAGGGTGAAAACCCAGCTTCTCTGGAGGACAGCAAGAACTTTGCCACTCCTTTCAGTGTTCATCTCATCAAAAGGGATAAAATGTTCTAAGGGAAAGGCGTGTTGCAACCATGAAGTAATTAGTAATGCTCCTCTTGCTCTTAACGGCAAGTAGATTTATTTTTCCTCCTCAGAGCTTAGGTGTTGTCTTATAAAAAGTATTTAAAATGGAAAAAAAAAATCTGATTTAGTTTGTTATGGGCTGTTTTCTTCTATTTTTTTGGGAAGTTTGAATCTTTTTGGCTAGATAAGAGAGAAAAACAAAGTAGTTTAACATAACAGTTAAGTGAAACACAAAACCTTTGAGTGAAACACAAAACTTCAGAATTCATTACAGGAATACTACACAAGTTTTAAAATATTTCTTATACATAAAAATATATTTGTATATAGAATATATATACTATGGAAGATTTCTATATATAAAATACAATTTTTCACTAAGGTTATGAAACATAGTTTAATGTTCAGATATCACTAATGAGAAACTCAACAAATTAGGACCTGCCATTTAAAACGATATTCCGGCCCAATGTTAAGAGGCCTTAAACAGTATAGGCTTCTGGGTTCAGATACTTTAATATGTGTTTTAAAAACAGATTTTAAAAGTCCACAGACTTTAAAAAAAAAATTAATTCAGATTTATCTCTTTCACAGCTTCTGTGAAATTCCTTTTTTCAGCTCATCAGCTGTGTTGTATGTTCTGCTGGCTGAGTCCATACATGAAATGGAATTTTTATTTTTATCCATATTATGTTATAGATCAGTGGATTTTTTTCGCCATCCCCAAAAATTCTGAGATAAACAACCTTATCAAGATTATCTTCCTTATCTAACAGAGAAAGCAGGCACAGTCTAAATGTTGGATGCTGGAACATTACTCATCAAAACCTCAACAAATTCAGTGGCAAGCAGGATTTTTTTACAAAATTATGATTATTTTAAGGCTGTAAACGGAGAGAGGTTCACTGGCAACCTAATCTGCTACAAATTTAACAACCCACAATGGGACATCGATTGCATAAGGTGGAGAAAGGTTCAGCCTCCTGCAGTGCTCATGACCTTGGGCGCTGGAGCAAAAGCAATGCTACTTGGCAGTACCCCCAAACCACTCCCTTGTAAACACTCAGGCAACCTGACAGGTCCCATGGATGAGCTGTCCTGGATGGGTTTCGGGCTGAATGTGCTTGGCGTGATGCTGACAGCTCTGACTAAGAGGTCAACCTGTGATTAAAGTGAGTGGAACCCACCGACAGGACAGACAGACGGACACGCAGGATTCCTGTCTTACCCTAACAAATCCAGGTGGGTTCCTGGAGTAGCTTTGTTTTCATCCAGCTCACAGCTAGACTCTCTTAGTCTGGGGCTGCTTATACAAATAATACATATTTAATAATGTTTACATTATTATCCTACAGGATTACTGTGGCACAGCCTTTAGCTGTGAAGCACACATGCACGTTGTCTTGTAGACCTCAAGGTTTCACCAGTGCCACTAATGCAGCTGTTCTGCATGTGAAAAATGTACACCTGGGTGCACTAGTGAGACTGAGAGGGAAGCACAGAAAAAGTGCCTGTAGGCAGAGTACCCCACCCCACCTTGCTTTGGCAGTCTCCCCTGCTCCATGGGATGCTGAAGGATAGCACCTGGACGCAACACGGCCTCAGTGAAGTACAGTGAAGCTTGAATACAAAGGATGAAGCTTGAATACAAAGGGGAAGAGTTTTGACTATTTTATGTAACTGTAAGGCAATTCAGCTGTTGATTTCCCTCCTCCTCCAGCTTAGCAGCTCAGCCCTCAGTGGCCTCTCAGATGCCCTTGGTTGCTCTCTCCCTAGGGGCACTTGCCCTGCCCAAACTAACTTAAACAGGGAGGTCACTCATCAGTTTCTGCTTCTAATTCCTTCAGTGTGACTGTCTTAGTGTTGATGGCATTGCAGGGTTTAAGTGAACAGAATTAAGGCCGTGAATGTCAACCGTTTGTATTCAGAATGTGCAGCGGTTATGAAAGCGATAAGCTGCGGTACGAGTATGGTACCCGTGTGCTAGATCGAGCGCGGAGAGAAATGATGTGATGCAACGAACGCACCCAGCGGTTGCACTTAACTGACAACGGCTCAAATAATTAATGGAGTGGAATAATGAAAAGATCAAACCCAATTCAAAATGACAGAGCTCTGAACTGACAACTAAACCATATAAAAACTGACAGGGCAAATAGATCTAAAGGGAAGATCTTGGTGGAGGGCACAGGGAAGCATCAGCTACTGGGAAATTCTTCCAGTCCCTGAGGGACATTTTGTGAGTGTGTGTGTGTGTGTGTGGGTACGTACACACGCTTGTTCCCAACCACGTGGTGTCTGCAATGCAGCAAACTTTGTGCTGTGTCATGCAGACAAAGAAATTAATCCTCTTCTAAGACAGGGATATTTAGTGGGTGGTTATCTCACTGAAATCCCTTAATGTCCACCCCAGGGACTGAGACGGGTGCAGAGCCACAGACAAAACACATTACTGATGGGTCTCATTCCTTTGCACATCAGAAAAATTGTGAAGTCTTAACTTACATGTTTTTAACTTAGTGCTTAAATCTTCTCTGAATCAGTCAATACTTCCTCGTACTCAGTCAGCAGTGACCAGGCCAGTGCCAAAGCCCTACGAGGCGATGCCAATGCAACTTGAGGTTGCTTGTCTGGTGCTTGGCATTCCTCTGTAGGTGTAGAGTTACTTCAGCCCCATTTCCTTCTTCCTGGCTCTGAGTGCTGCCACCGAGGAGAGCGAGGAGCCCACATGTATCCACATTTCAGTGCCTGCCATGTTCCGTGAAGGGCTGGATTCTTCCCCATGGCCAAAGTAGCCATCTGATACACCCACAGAGCTCAACCACCTTGCAGCTGCCACCCCGAGCAAAACTTAATCCAGAATCCTTAGAGTTCCCAACTCCTTGCTCATATGTGTCTGCCACTGATCTCAGCTATCAAACGCACAGATTAAATGTCAACAGCTCTCCGTAATTGATATTACTACTGGGAACATGCCTCCTAGGCTACTTGACTCCCCAGATTCGAGTCATCCTGTAGCACTGCTCAGTGCTCACCAGGCAGTCACACAGATCCTCTGGTGCTTTAAACAACCCCTCTATGAAGTGAGCAGAGAACAATACTGGAGATAGTCAAAACCAGAAGGAAGACGTTAGCAACTGCTCTTTGCAATTAAAATGGAGGAGGGTGGGATGGAGCACAAGTAAGTCTCAGAATTGGATGCAACAGCCCTCTCAAACTTCAGGGGCTAGAACGCTTGTGTATAATTGCAAGATTTGAACAGTAGGGATTTATTTTTTAAACATTTAACTGCTATACCTCATCACTACTCTTAGTGTATCTCCAGTGGGTCTCAAATACATTACAGTGCCTGGTGCTGCTCTTGGCAGCCTCTGGCTCTATTTCCATTAGCAAATTGTGCAGCACAACAGGAGCAGATCTACAGAGAAAACAGCTAGGGCTGAGAGCCCAGCACAACCCCTCTGCCTCTCTGGCGCAGCTCTGGCCCCATGGTCATTAGTCATTAGCAGGTGGGATGCACTTGGAGCTCCATCTTCCATGTCACCATTATCCAAAAGGTATCTAGCGGATGCATCTGAAGTATGGTGAGTGAGAATGACCAGAAGATTTGCCCTCCTAATTTAAGCTGAAGTAAAATACTAGAGTAGATAACCTCTCTCTTTTACAGAAACATTCTTCCTGAATTTCTTTCTCCAGTGACTTCTTTTGCCTCACTTTTCTCATCCTGTTTTCATTCTGCTGCCCACCTCTGCTATTTGCCATGACACCATGATATTGTACCCAAAGCAGTCTTCTGGCTCCCTCATTTAGTCTGCCCTCTGGCATGGGGCACATCCCACTTTTTTATTTCTTGATCAATCCCCATTTTAACTCTAAGCAGGTGGACATCAATGGCAGATGCCAGAATGACAGTTCAGATGCTTAATGCTTTAACCCTCTGGAAAACTTAGGCTCTTGTATGCTGCCTGCAGCTTGCATAACCCACAACCATTACTAGGATGAAGGAATTGCTGATTTTCCAAGGAACTATCTGAACAAGGATGGAAATAGATAACATTGACTGGTCTGAGCTGTAAAATTACCATCCGTAAGTTGTAGCTCATCAGTCTTTGAGGGAGGGCTCTCATGATGAAAGGGGTAGACGATTGCTGCTGCTCAGTCCTTGCCAGAAAGGGAGACACTTTAGTATCTGCAGGATGGATTCCTACTGTCAGCAAATTCCTAGCTCTCTTGGGTCAACCATCCCATGCCCAGTCAGTCAGTCAAAAGGTAGGAGGGGGTAGTCTGGCCCCACAGAATTAGGGATCACCATTTGCACTCCTGCAGCCTAACTGCTGTTCCCCACGGGAACAGAGATTAATCTTATCCCAAGGGCTTAGCAGAACTTCTGTATCTGCCCTTTTCACATGCTTTCAGGAGGACATTTTGCGTCATTTGTAGCTGCTGTTCTCCTCTTTTGTTAGGCTATTCTCTCAGGATTTATATGGTGTGTAGAAGTTTTGTTTCACATCACAATGTGTTTATGTGCAGGTCAGGAAATTCATCAGCCAACTGTCTGAACAATTAAAACAATTTTGGCCAGCCTCACTTCGCTTTGATTCTGGGTTTGGGTTTGTTTGACTCATCGAGTTCTGGTTGCTATCAACACTATTGACCACAGCTCTCTGAAGAGGGGAAATGCAGCCAGGCTTACCAAAGAGCTGCCAAATATTAGCCTCGCCACGTACTGTATAAATGGCTGCTGTTTGTTACCACCCGGTGAAAGCATCTTCTCTAATGATCAACTTTGCCTTCATCTAGGGAGCTGTTCTGCTCTTTCACGTGCCCCTTAATCCCCTCACTTGAAGCAACCCAGTTTGTCAAACTAGGCTGGAGGACAGCAGATGCCTTGTCTGAATCTGGCTTAATCAGTACACAATTCGGGTCACGCTTTTATCAACAAGCGCTTGGTTGGTGTCAAAATCAGCACAAAGCAGGGCAGGAGGGTCAGGCTGTCTGCTGGGACCAGGCTTTGCCTGGAAGGCTGCTGCCCTCTGCTGCTGGTGGAGCTGCCAGGGCTGGGGCCAGGGCTGCACCTAACACCGGCACCAGCTGGGAGTGAAGGCCAGTGCTGAGCTCCCACTCCTTCATACCCAGCACACCCTGGAGCTCTGACTCCAGCCAGACGCTCCATGCAGCCTGGCTGTATTGCGACGTCCCTGGAAAAAATGCTTTTCTACGTTCATAAGAAAACGGGGAGTCAGACTCCCATTGCAGCCAGCAATGCCCACTGATGGGACAAGAGGCGATGGGTACCAATAGATTAATGTGTCCATCTGAACAGAAAACTTCTTTTTTTTCCTGTGAGGTTGATCAAACACCAGCACAGGTTGCCCAGGGATACTGCAGAGCCTCCATCTGTGCAGATATTAAAAACCCAACTGGACATATTCCTGGGCAACCTGCTCTCATTGACCCTAAGGGGATTGGACTAGATGATTTCAAGGGGTTCCTTCCAAACTAAATGATTCTGTGATTATATTAGGCTTTATATAATAATATTAAGCACTACATAAAAGCAGATATTGCTGAAAACCTCTCATTGAATAGGTAAAACCATCAACTGTAAATGTTTGCAGGTCTTAAGTGCAATCCAAAGATGACTCTCCTGTCCTGCACATGCCTGAAGAAACAAACATACCTTTCTTACAACTCCTGTAGTGGTCACGATGTTCTCTGCTCCTTCTACAGTCTTGTTTGCCACTGTGTTCACACTGGCTACTACAGCTTCTCCCACCACATTGGCCTGCTCTTTGGTCTTCTCAGCAACTAGGATTTCAACAAAAGCAGAAAGTCAATGAGCGAGACACTGCCAAAAGGCTGACACATTCACCGCAACAATAAGATGATTGCACTGAGGTAAAAGAAATTGGCTGATACAGTCCTTACTTGGATTTTTTACATGAGATCATGTCTGAATTTAGATCATGTACATAAGGGTTTTGTCTGACTCAAAAAGCTGCTCAGTGAGCAGCACTGCAGCCTGCAACCGGAGAATGAAAAATTCACTGTAAGATACTAAGAGACAATTGTGCAAAGAAGGTATTTTGCATTGCAGACTGTGTATGACCTCTGTGTAGCTTCTGTCTGATTTAATACACCTGGGTAGGAAAAAACTGTTATTTAGTCATTAAACTCTCCAGGGAAAGGATCCATTCATCTCTTCTCAAGGCAGTTCAGAAGGTTGCCCAGCCTTGGAGCTTGGGATACCTAGAAAGATCCCTTTAGGGTCCCTGACTCTGTGACTGCCTGACAGGAGTGTCCCAAAGGCCAGTTTTGGTCTAACAGGAACTGATGCAACTAAACGCCCCTCTGCATGCTGGGCAGCACCCTTAGCATGGTGAAATGTCTAAGGTGCTGTGAATCATCTGAGTCTGCCAAGTAGCATTTGTTAGATTTTTTTTTTTTTTTTTTTTACCTGCTCTACTGATTAAATATTTTCTCCCATCCACGTGCACTGCAAATACCAGACCCTGGACCATCGCTCCTGGCAAGCATCCTCCATTCATCAAATAGAAGGTCATGCAGATCAGCACTGTGTCCCAGAGACTTTCCACTTGTCAGGAACGATGGCCTTATCAAGAGGTCCAGCAACACATTACAGACTTCCACATCTCTCTCAGGGCTGTGCTCTTACCTGAGGTCACACTTTGCACTACGCCTTCCTTGGTTTTGGTACCTGTGAAAGGAAACATATGGTCCGTCAGTGCTACCCAGCAAAAGAACCTCTGCTTTTTGGACATGGATGGCTTTCTGCTCTTACTAGGTGTGGCGGGGAGCCGTGGTGCTGCTGGCACCTCCTGATAAGACACAAGCCATTTGCAGAGCCAGCAGAAGGGATGAGCTTCCTTCCCCAGTGCAGTCAATGAGTACCTTTTTGTCAGGAGTTGGATAACTTCAACCACAAATTGGAGCTGCCTAGACCTGAAAAATCTTGATTATAGCATGCTTAAGCAGGAAAAATTGTTCCTGAAATATTTCCAAAATGAAAAGAACAATTGAGCAGATATAAATAAATGTTAAACTAATTGTAAAAATGAATGTATACTAAGTGCCCCGGTGAAATCTCACCTACCTTAGTCTTTCAAGATGTGGAGTCCCATTCAGGACTCTCCCCTGCCTTTCAGCAAGATACTTGTCTGCTTTGCTCATTTAAAGCTCCATTCTACACCTATAACAAAGACTCTGGAGAAACTTAGGCTTAATTTACAGAACAACCACACTCCTACTACATACCTACTTACTAGATTCCCATTTCAGTACCTCAGCCCAGGCTGTACGTGCCTGCTCACAGCAATACGCGCAATTCAGATGTTTTCATCTCAAATTCTGAAAGTTCACCACATGTATGCTTACATTGTAATTTATCTTGCTGTTCTCAAGGCAGAAAAGCTAACAGGATGTGAGGGCATTCAGTTTGCAATGCAAGTGGTCCCTAAGGAACAATTAATCTCTGTAGCTTTCCTCCAAGCTTGAAATGACCTGCTATACATCCCTCTTGTTTGTATACTGCAGCATATATGTTAAATCACGTGGGAGATGGGCAGCCCTCACAGTAACTAGATGTTTCACGCTAGAAAAATAAGGAACCAGGTTTATCTCTGTTGAAGTCAAATAAACATGTGCCAAAACGTTCCACTGGTTCCATTTTACTGTACTTTGTAAATCACCTGCACCTATATAGGCTCTTTTCAAGTTTTCCATACTGATAAAACAAACAGATTTTTACAGCCAGCTGTCAAAATGATAGAAATACAGAGCCAGGCAGATCTTTAACTCCAGAGGTACCAGAGCATCCATGGGTGTAGTGGGAGAAATCAGCTACAAACCACATCTCCTTCTCGTCAATAGCCTGAAAAGCAAAACAGGTGCAGTGCCCTGATAACAACAGGTCCAGCCCAGCTCTGTTCTCCTGATACAAGTTACACACTATTGAATGCCATTCTCAATTGTTGATTTATTTTGGTGGTGGTAATGGTTGCCTGGGGCAGGACAAAGCTGTTCTGCTACAGCATGCCCTCAACATTTCACCCTGCCCTCTTGAACTGTGTTAAAACCAGAGATGAAATCTTTGTACTTTATACCTGTTGCTGCTGTAAAATGCATTTCCTAATGATGCATATGACACACATGCACTCCTGTAAACTGGATTTAATAATGACGCACACGGTATACAAACGTGCACAGAAGCACAGCAGTGAGCAGAGCAGATGCAAGTCTCAAGCCAAGAACATGAGCTCCTGCACGGGCCAAATGCACACAGTTAAATTCAGATGCCATCCTGCTTCTGTTTCCCTCCCAGTGCCATTCTAATAAAAGACTGCCACAATACTGATTTGACATACAAGGTCTTCTCACATCAGACACATTCAAGCTTAGTCCTTCTTTGCTGTTCTTTGTTCAAAGAGCAGTCGTTAAGCAAGCAAAGTATATAATTTTCTGTGCTAGACTTGTATAGGTTTCAGTTTTGCAGTAAACACACTAAGTAAGAGAAGAGCTGTACTTCTGTATATTTTTTTTTTATCAGACTTTTGACTTAAGGTCTATCTGGGCTAGATTCTTTTGCAGGGGGTGTGGGTGGGTGCCATAATTTCTGATGGAAAATAATTCCAGAAAGGAAGGATGCAGGTAGAATTAAAATTCTCGAATCCGTATCACGACAGAAGCAACAGCAGTGGGAAGTGCCATCACTGCAGCCTGGGGAGAGCTCGCCTCATCTCCCTAACCCGCTCTCCTGACCGCACCCAATGACTCAGGCTCAGCATCCATTATGCACCACATGAAACCTGACCTTCCGGCGTATACCCTTGCCAGCAACCCGCAGCTGTTGAATCAGAAAGCAATCACCTGATGCTCAATCTCATTTCACTCATTAATCCTTGCCTGCAGGTTGTATACTCAGAATTAAAAGTTCATGCATCCTGCCTCTTCTGAGTGCTGTGAGTCATCTTTAAGAGCTTTGGTATTGAAAGGGTGTGACCAAGGTGGCAGAGCGCTGCGTAGAGGGAAAAGAGTTGTAGTAGAAAAGGATATGATGATGTGCTGTATGTCCTGCAGGAGTTCGTGCTGGAGTCGTCTTGCTTAAGTAGAGCTCGGTGTGTTGGGGCTTTCTGTGAGATGAATGATTGAAAGGTGCTTTGGAAAACTGAAAGTGTATTCTTTGTTGAGGCTTCCTGAATTATAGTATTAAACAGTACTAATAACTAATACCCAGTACTCTGATGGAGCTTTGCATTAACTTGATTAACTACCTTTAGCCCTTCAGCATCACTTATCCCTCTATTTAAACCAAATACAAGACAGCCCATTGAATCAACCTCCAGACAAACATTAACTGTGCAAGAACAGTAGCCACTTCAGCATACCCAGAGGCTGTTACAACTGGGAGAGCAGACTGTGATTTTACTAAGTGCAAAGGTGGACCCTGTTACAGGATTTCTCTCTCTTTCTGCGCAGTCTCTTCTCTACCTTACACATCCAGCAAGCCATGCAGCTTGGGGGGCAGGAGCACCCCATGCTCTTGACTCCCCCGCGACGGCAGCATCCCTAACCATCCCGGCTGTGACCCGCATTGCAGTGCGAGCACACGAGGGAGGCCCCTCCGGCTCTGGCACAGGTTGTGGGAACTGAACCCATGTGGCTCAGACAGGAGAAATGAGGTGGCTGCAGAGCCTCTGTGACACCAGCCACTCCCTGTGGGTGCCTCTGAAAGAATATTTTTTTTCTCCTGGTGCAGCAGCAAGTGACTCACCAGATGTGGTGGTTGTGCCCAGACATCTTGAGTCCTCCTTAGAGAGTCAGTGATGAGTTAACACAAACCTGAATAAAAGTCAGGGATCCACTTAGTCCATCCTAGGCTTTGGACCAAGATGCTAGGATAGGCGTCTACAAAGCCAGGAGCAAGGAAGGAACAGTTCAGGTCTCTGATTAACCCTTCACGTATCACAGAACAAAAAAAGGTGGCACAGACAACATACTAATCACTCCAGTTTTAATTGACAGACCTGGCCTCCAGCTTCTCTATTTAAACATCAGTTCTCTGAGCTAATCAGCATCTGGCCTTTACTCTTCCTGCCTGTAAAAGACTGAATATTCCCCAAAAGGCTGAGCATCCCCCAGTGTCCAACAGAAACTGACTCAGCCCCAAGGCAAAGCACTATCCAGTGCGTGACAGGGCAGAAATTGGCAGTAAACCAAAACACACACAAAAACCAACCAAACAAAAAAACCCCAACCAAAAACCAAAAGGAGAAAGCACTTCATCTTCACCTTGATCCTTATTTGAATCTCATTCAGAGGTTTAGGTTTTAAGAAGGCTTTTAGAAAACTTTATTGAAAAGGTTACAATCTCATGAGCAGACTCTGTACCTCATGGTTGTGCAGAAATGAAGAACGGGCCACGTTATGGAGATGTACAATATGACTGAACAGAGATGTAAGGAATTATGTATAAAAATTTGGAATAATCCTTTCAGACATCACTCACATCAGGAAGCAGCCGGAGTAGCAGGGATGCCACAATTTGACACCTAGATGTGATGGTTCACAGGCTGGTGTTTCACTTACTGTGGTTAGTTCAATTATTTACAGGGATGCTGTTTACCTTTTTTCTTGCGAGCCAGCTTTAAATTGAAATATGAACAGTTACATACGTTCGTTCACCTCATGCCAATAGTTCACAGCATGCCAATATCTGCGTGCTTAGAATTTCAGGATGAAGACATTACCAGATCTGCTGCATATAAAGTTTGTATTTCATTTGTAATTTAAAAATATATACCCATAGCTATTGTCAATATAACTGTTTTAAATATAGTAGCTACATACAGCTGCAGATGTTGCAGCGTGATAGCAGGAAGAATCTGCATGTAAACTTTCCCACCAAAAAACCCCCTCACTCCCACATCTAGCAAACATAAGCTGTGTGAGGTGCAGTAAGCAGCACCAAGATAATCAGTCTTGGGAACATAAGACTTCATAGATTTTATAGTACCTGGAGTATCTGACCATCCAGCCATACAATCATATGTGCTAGATAGAGGAGAGAATGATTTCGAGGGTGACCTTGAATGCAAGGTTTCTGAAACAGCATATTAACTGTGAGAGAGGTCTCCAGCAGGACATCAGGTCTGTTGTGTCCCAGATCCTATCCTTTGGGCAAAATTAATTTGGGTGTCTCTTGTAAAGCAAGATTAATATGTGCATGGAGATTGAAACAGGATAAAAGAGTATGTTTGTGGGGAAACAGATGCATCCTGCAACCCCCCCACTTAATAATGCTGATGGCTCCTCTCAGGGACCTCCTCAGCATGTGTCTTGCAGCGTGGAGCTGAGGTGGAGATCAGCAGTGCTTGGATGCTTGGAGAGTGAGTGACTCACCCTGCAAACAAGCAGTGAATAGTCAACAGAAACCTTCCACCTGAGCATCTGCTCCTTAACACTGCATTAGTTCTGCCTCCCTTGAAGTAGTGCCTGTTTCTATGTATAATTTGCAGTTGGGGAAACTGAGGCACGGGGAGGATGTGGCCCCCCAGGCTTACACAGCCACTCTGTGACAGAGCTGAGGATGTTATCCAGACGTCCTGCTGTTCACTCCCAAGCTTTAGCCACAATGTAATTTCCCCAAATTTTGTCAAGAGACCATCTATGCAGCAGTTCATGCTCAAATGCAGGTTGAAAATAATTCTCTCTTACCTACATACATCACCCCTTCTTTAGTCTTCTCTGCAGCCTCCGTCACTCCCTGCTTGGTCTTTTCTGCAGCAGCCACCACACCTTCTTTAGCAATGGAGAAGCCTTTCTTAAAGACATCCATTCTTGTTGCTTGCTAGGGTATTACCTGGATGATCTGAGTGAGGGACAGCAGCAAAAAGCACCTCAAGACCGGGACTGCAATATTGCAGCTTTACCCTCAGTGGATACTCGGTTTCTCTGCCAGTCTCTGCCTTTGCTCTTACTCCTCTGCTGGGTGAAGGCAGTGTGGCAAACCTCACAGCCTTTGCCGGCTCTTATTGATGAAGTGCGCTGCAGTGTAGCCAATGCCTGTGAACAGCTGATACTGAAATATTAATGATTTGGATCTGCTTGGAAAGATTTAAGAAGCGGGGGGAGGAGGAGGAGGACGAGGACATCAGTAGGTAAGGGACTGTCTGGAAAATTTCCAGACAGATAAAGCTTTTAAAATATGCTGCAATGCTCTCACTCAAGGATGTGCTCATGTGAAGAGGGAGAATTTTATCTGAAGAGCAGAGTTCCTGAAAGGGCATCTCCCTGAGGCTGCAGCAGGAGGCAAACACAAGCTCTCCTGGGTTCCCAGAGGCTGGAGAGCCTGTAGAGCTGGTAGCGTTCCTAACAAACAGGCTCAGGTTTCTTGGTCTGGCTGTTACCAGAACCCATCCTGCACAAAACGGCAGCACAAACATTTCTAGTAAATACCGAAAGAAAAAGGGAACCTGCTAAAGCTTGGTGCTCAACTGAAGGGAGCTCTAAGTCCCACTTGCCATGTTTATCAAGTCTGAAGTCATTTAGTATAAATTACGTTTTTTACTTGGCTACACATCCCACTACAACAGTTCATTTCTGAAAAATCAGACGCTTGTTGGAGGAAATCCTGTTTCCTATTTGCTTCTCTGAGTCGCTGTAGACTGAGCTCCACTCCACTGCTGCAGGATGAGACAACATTTCACACCAGTGCCATCACTCACATCAGAGGACTGTGCCATGGCAAGAAAACCATCCAGTGGAGAGGTGACTGGGGAAATATTACAGTTTGCATAAAGGATCCATCCAGCCTCAAGAATTCACTAAGAAAAAATATCAAAACGTATGATCATTAATCACAGTTGGATATGCTACTGTGCTTAAACTCAAGCTATATCTTTTTCTGAAGTTTTCTGGCCCAAATTAGCTACTGTCCCACTAGCAAACTGAAATTCAACACAAGTGTGTGTGAAAGCAATTGCTGGTGCAACAAGGTGATTATTTATTGGTTTAGTTTTTTGGGGGTTTTTTTGGATAGTGCCATGTCTGAAACTACAGAAGCCACGGAGCATCAGCTTCTGAGCACAAAGCCTGACCAGCTTTGGCTGCTTTTCCTTACCAGGTTAGACGGAATAGGAAATTCAGAGGATTAACTGCATTATGGGAGGGCAGCACACCGTAATGTCATGAAGTGGTCTGTGTGCCACTGCTGCCACAAGTTATCATCCTGGAAGGGTCAGACAGTGAATGACTACAGTCTGAGTGAAAAAATGGCAGGTCTGTACACACGTGCAGATGTACACAAACACAGTTCTTACTGCAGAGGTAAGAATATTTCTTCGGTTTTTAGGAGCGTTTTTTCACTCCATACTGAAACAATTCAAAGACTGTTGATCTGGAAAATAATACACAGATTTCTTAATCTTTTTCTCACAAATGGGTCTCCTTACTTATAAATGAAGAACAAGTTTTCATTTGAATGTAGAGGAGCCAAATCTCTGACAGACTAATAAATTTATCAATTTTTTTTTTAAAAAGTGCAAGATTCACAGGAAGGCCATCACAACATACTAGTTACTGTAAGAGCTCTCATTGTTCTAGACTGTTGCAGCAAGTAGTGAAAAAAGGTTTTTTCTTACCGTCTTTCATAATTTCCTTTAGGTAGCTACCCAAAGTACATGGCTGGTGCTCACTACCGCTCCCAGTGTATTCTTAAATGGAAGATATTTGTGTCTTACTCTGCTATACAACCAGTGGTTTAACCCAGCTGCTCTTGGAGTCAGTTGTAAGGCCTCCTTTGATTTTATTAGGCACAGGGCAGGAGTCTTGTTTTTACTAGGTTTGGTAAAAAGTGAATCTACCATTGAATTGCTACAGGGTCCCTCTAGTAAGCTTTCAAAGAACATTAAAGCAGAGCACAGAGTTTCCCAGGGCTGTAGGTTTTACTGGCATTTTCAAGAGCACACCCAGGCTGATAAGACTGAGAAGTATATTTTGATTTTGTTAAGCTATTGTTCTGTCATTGTGATTTTGTACAATAAAATTCTACATATTTTACATTGCTAAAAGGTAACAAATACATGAAATACCAAGCCATCCTGGGATATGAAACATGAATCATCACCAGACTGAATTAGCTGGTACTCAAGTGGGATACTCCTTTCCTGCCTTCTCTCCCAACGACCTTCAGAAAGAGCTCACAAGAGGTATTTAAATGCTGTTGGATCATTCCCAAGGCAGCGAGCAGTTTGCACAGGCATTGTTCTACCTTGAAATCCTTTTAGGAAAGCTCTGGACCCAAGACAACATTGCAGGTCATCTATACAGGGCAAGCATCAATAATTGCTCGTGACTGTTTGCCACCCCATGGCAACTGTGGTACCTATTTCTATTCTGAGCAGAGGATTCAGTCTTGATTTGTTGCCAACCCTGCCTCAGGTGAACCTAACAACAGAAGTTAATGTAAGCAACCTTGGCTTTCAGATTTTGCAAGGATCTCAACTTTGGGCATGAAAAACAAATTTCCCCTTGCATCAGAGAACATAATCAGCAGCTAAACAGAAGCTCCTCCAATGGGCGATTCAGAGAACCCAAGTTCCCATCTCAACTGGCAGCACCTCTTTTTCTCTATTATCTACCTTGAGACACTGGGAGAAGTCAATTAAGCTAGACATTAAGTTATTTTTTTTGCTATTGAGTTTCATTCATATAACTTTGTAAACAAATTCATATCTCACATTTAGCTGATCTGCGTAACATCAAAACAAAGCCTCGCCCTGATCTGTGCAATGACAAACCATCCAACCGTTGTCCATTTAAAGTCTGAATTGTGGCTGCTCAGGCTTGTCCATTGAGTCTCTTGCTGCATAACACAGTAGTTTCTGGAGAGTCTCTGAAAAGTGCAGCTCCCCGCCTCCCACGTGCCTAAACATCTCTCTGGGTGTTGGTGGCCAATATCTGGAAGCAGGCCTGTGAAACGCCTGCCAGTAGTTCTGGAATATGGGTAAGACAAGACTAACAAGACTCTGCCTATTCCCAAAGCACAAATGTAAGGCAAAGAAAAAAATGCAAAGCAGAAATCAAGATTCCCTGTCCTCTACTGTCTTTTTCTTTGCAATAGATTAAAACAGAATTTTACTTAATGTATGTCTCTTCCCTCTTTAATTTTCCCAGTTCCAAGTTAACCCCCCCCCCAAAACCTTAACCTTGTCCTTTAACAATGAACTTCTGCTGGAGAATAACAGCTGATAAAGTCACCTTGCTGGATGAAAGGAGTGGGATTTGGTCATATTCTATTGAAGTATATAAATGGTGTATGATGTTGTTTGAAAGACAGGTAAAGAAGGGAGAGACAGACTGCTTTTGTGGCGGGTAAATATCCTTTGTTCAGGAAGTTTTTGTATGGGGAATAGTATCAACACTAACAGGATCAAACCTTGCTCTACATAAACAGAAATCCTCCCTCTCTCTCCTCATTTATGAAAACTTCAAAAAGCTGAAGGGAGAACTGTCTCAGATCATCCATCTTCATGCCCTAAGGAAAACAAGCAGTTCTGTCTGACATCCTCTTGGCGAACAGTTTAAGACTTGAATCCCTGCGTGTACGTTTGCATAGCTAATGAGTAACTTCCTCTGCCAGAGAACAAATAGCATGAAGGCTGACGGAGGGGCCATTTTTAAGGCACACATACAGCAAGTAGAGCGCTGCCAGTACAGCACTCAGCAGTCTTTCCTGACAGATCTCTGCCGTTTGGTACCACTGACAGCTTTTGAGCAAACTAATAAAAATACAGTCGACAAGAATTCAACTTCCTGCTCTGAAGGACAGACCACTGAAAGGAACCACCCCCCAGCCCAGCAGCCCCCTCCTGACACTCCTCTCCCCATGCTCCGCTTCCCTGGAGCTGCTGCACCAGGCGTGCCAAGGGTCCACATGTGAACATCGGCAGTGGGCAGGGAATGAGACAGCATTTTCTGGATCTGAAAACCAATGCCTAATGAAAAGTTATCCCTTGCTGTGCAGCTATCAACAAAACTGTCCTTTTCATCTTCTCAGACACAAAATCTTTTCAGTTATTCAGTCTGCTTCAGAGATTTGGAGCCTGGGATGTATTAATCTAATGCAACACATGCTTATTAAAATAATTCCCATAGCTTATTGAAATAATTCCAGCTCTTCTTAGCTTTTAAAACATTTTTCCATGGATTTTTTTTTCCTTTTAAATATACATATTCTGAATTTAAGTCTATAGTTAGGAGCATGGAGTAGGCAGTGAATGTGGGGAGATACAAAAGAAACCAAACAAAAAAATCTGAATCTATTAATTGAAAATCTAATTTCTAAGGGCTCTTTCTCCAGAGAGACACTGACTGGGATAGCCAGTGTATCTGCCTTCCCAGTACGTACAAGCCAGTTATCAAACGTGTTGTCTGGCTCTGTTTACTGCGTGGTCACCCACCTCCTATCCAACTGTAGCTGCAGGGCTCTGACTCCAAACAAACAGAAAGGGACCAAGGTGAGATTTTACATCTTAGGCAGATTATTCAGAAGACGGCGCTGGTATTTGACAACTTGATTATGCAATTGCAAACAGGACATTGAATTCTTGTGGTGGGCAACAGTGGAAGGGGTTAAGAGCTGTTGTTAATGGAAACGGTTATAAATACCAGGCAAGGCAAGAGTAGTCCTGACAGTTACCTGCAACATCTCGGGGCACACTGATGAATCCGGCGTAAATGGCAATATCAACTCTTTCAAGACTACTCTGAAGTCTGAAGACTAGTTTGAATAAGTATTTCTCAGAAATACTTGAGGAAAAAGTATTTTCATGAATAAGGGCACAGGAAAAAAAAGCAACTAATGACTGGAGACCAAAAGTGGAGGAACAATGTCTGTCACCTGTCAAATTTAGTTGCCAAAATAAAGAGCAAGTAGGGTGGGGGTTTTTTGGCTAGCTGTTCTGAGAACTGCTAGAAACTTCTGAGAAGTACCAGGGCAGCTCCAAACATCTCCACACCATGTAAGTATACTTTTCGAA